GAGAGAGAGAGAGAGAGAGAGAGAGAGAGAGAGAGAGAGAGAGAGAGAGAGAGAGAGAGAGAGAGAGAGAGAGAGAGCACAAAACATTACATTGGAAAGACGAGCAAACATGGACACATCTCTGGGCACTTAACCTGCCGCAGCATCACTGCGGCGCGCCAGTGACTTGTGTTTCATTAAACCACCAGTACATGGCCCCAGGCAACTGGAGAACCTGTTTTGAGCCTCTCCTAAAGTTTAGGAGGCTGAGCGGCGTCGATAAAATGAATCGGCGGTGGGCGGCCTCCAAAAGGGGCCCGCGGCCGATTGCTGGCAATTAGAAACAAACTTTTGGTCTGCTTGAGGTTGTGAGTAAAGTTTCAGTTCTCCTTGAGGGTAATGTGTTATTTATTCTCAGTTGGGAAATTGGGACTGAAAATTGGTTGGATTCATCTGTGGGGTGCCTGGCTGTATGACGGCTGGTGTGTTATATTGTCGCAGACAGCACTTGAGCATCTGTACTTCTGCAATGATGGGATTTCAGTTGGAGCCGCAAAAGCCATAGCGGAGTACTTCCCTTCGGCACCTGAGCTTCGTACGCTCCATTTTTACAATAACATGACTGGTAAGCACACTTTTCTTCTTCCGTCCGGCTGAAACGTGCTTTGTTTTCCTGGATGGACCTCTTTTGGGCTGTGAATGTGTGACCCGAGGGTGAATTTGCTGTTCATCTGCTGAGCAGGAGCTGTAGTATCCCCCCTGCTGTCAGATCGACTCCAAAGATCAATCAATTAATCTTTCATTGTGCTGATCAACTATGTAGTATATTGATTTCCCTCACCTCTTCTCTTGCTTGCTATTGCCACTCTCCACCGATGACGAGAAACCTCTTCTCCTTCAGTTGTGAATGCACACCTATGAGGAACAAGCAGGTATACAGATGTTAGAGCGCGCATTAGGATGAATGGGCTATTAGAAGTTTGTGTAGAAGTACACAGTATACTGTCAATCAGTGACTAATAAATAGAACTGAAGGTGCGTGCAGATAATTTTGTGGAGGTGGTTGTACACCTGTGTGGTCCACTTGGCTGTTTTGACTCGTTGGAAGAAAAACGATGATCATCTGCGTCTGCCGTCATGATAATCCGGTGTCTGAAGTTCGAACCCATCAGTTAATGCTTGATAAGGTCCATCAATATCCTGCCCAAGCATGTTCATTGTCAGTTTCACCTACTTGCATGGTTCTCATTTTATTGGGGGGCAGAGAGAGAGAGAGAGAGAGAGAGAGAGAGAGAGAGAGAGAGAGAGAGAGAGAGAGAGAGAGAGAGAGAGAGAGAGAGAGAGAGAGAGGCTCAGTTTTCTATTGTTTGTGTGGACACTGGAATTATCAGTATGGGGGAGAGACCGGTGGGGTCGTCTTCCTTTGTCTTTGTGCTTTGTGCAACGTCTAACAACGGCTGCATGCAGTGATTCCTGGTATTGCTGAATATAAGATAACCATGAGATTGATAGATACTCTCTTGGCATCTCTCTGGGCCTCTTGTTTTGCCTCCTTTGTGTTCACAGGGGATGATGGGGCTATTGCTCTGTTTGATCTCATAAATCAGGCGACAAAGCTAGAAGATTTCCGGTTCTCCTCGACGAGGGTTGGGGAAGATGGTGGAAATTCTCTTGCCAAAGCCCTGGAGAGTGGTAAGCACTGTTCTCTCGAATGTTTACCTGAATGCTGATGCAACTCTCTGTGAGGAAGGTATGCCTTTGCGCTGCAGATTTTCTGCACTACGGGCTAGTGTGCTGCTCTTGTCATGAAAAATGATACCATCTTGCGCTGAACAAGACATTGCCCGATCATAAACGTATGCAAGCTATCTTGCTGGTCTGATACAGTCATGATAAGGGCTTTGTTTTGTTGTGAGGAAGACCATAGTTCTGTGCCACTCTGCCAGAGATGAAGTAAATCAGCATTGCCTGATCTGAATATGGAATCACATTCTTTTGTATACGATCATAATGTCCCCATTGGCAATTATTACGTCAAGAATTTCCTGCATACCATCGTCAGAACGTACATGCACATCATCACAACTCGGCGTATTTCATCGCTCTTGGCATCTGCATGTTGATGGACATTTTCGCAGGCGCATTTCGAGCAATCCAAACACAAATGACTGGCTACTAGGGACGTCTTTTGTAAAGAAAGGTTAGAAACAGAAACTCTGTTTTTCGGCAAGGGCAGTGAAATGGGAATACAGAAGACGGTGTATTCTTTTGCAGGAATGTCTCAGGAAAGTGATGTGAAACGATAGTAATGACAACAGCAACCAACCAAGATATACTTGCAACCCAAGCTGCGCAAATCTGCAGTGGAGCGCGACACCACCACCCAACCCAGAACTGAACCTTAACCGAACCCTGATCTCAAGATGTACCAATCCCAAGACCCAATGTCAATGATGAATAAGACCCCAACCCAGAACTTAACGCTAAAACGAACCCAAGAACCAATGCCAAATCCTACCTGAATGTCAACCTTGACCCAATCAGGAATCCGATGTGAAACCGGACTCGTAACCTAGCACGAAACCCTACCAAGAATTCAACTTAAAATCGAGAACCCAGCAGTGGACCCAACTCAAAAGCAATCGTAAACTGGACCCTCTAAACCCTACCTGAATATCAACCGTAACTCACTGGTTCACCCAACCCAGAAGCCAATCACGAACCCAATGTGAAACCAAACTCCGACCTAACACGAAACCCAACCTAAAATTCAACCCAAAATCCAGAACCAAGCACAGGACCCAACCTAAAAGCCAATGTTAAACTGGACCATCAACCCGATGCCGAAAATCCAAAACAGATCCTAAAGAACCCAATTGGAAGCCCAACCCGGTTCAACCTGGGATCCACTCTGAACCCAACCCAACCCAAAGACCTTCACTGAGTTCAGCGATCTAGTGCAATACCTCTCTCCTCTACTCTCTCTCTCCTCTCTACTCTTCACTCTCTACTCTCTACTCTACTCTCTACTCTCTACTCTCTACTCTACTCTGCTCTCTATCTACTCTGCTCTACTCTCCATACTGTACTCTACTCTCTACTCTCTAGCCCACTACTCTCTACTCTCTACTCTCTACTCACTACTCTGCTCTAGTCTACTCTGTACTCTCTGCGCTACTCTACACTCTGCTCTACTCTACTCTTGTTTTCTCTTCTCTCTCCACTCTACTCTCTACTCTCTACTCTCTACTCTCTACTCTCTACTCTCTACTCTCTACTCTCTACTCTACTCTCTACTCTACTCTACTCTCTGCTCTCTATCTACTCTACTCTACTCTCTACTCTACTCTACTCTCTACTCTACTCTCCATACTGTACTGTACTCTCTACTCTCTAGCCCACTACTCTCTACTCTCTGCTCTCTATCTACCCTACTCTACTCTCTACTCTACTCTCCATACTGTACTCTACTCTCTACTCGCTAGCCCAGTACTCTCTACTCACTGCTCGCTACTCTGCTCTAGTCTACTCTGTACTCTACTTTCTACCCCTTACTCTCTACTGCGAGGCTACTGCCTCTATGAGCCCCATTCGGCCCCTTTTTGGGAGCCTGTCGGCCGCGCTAATTGAAGGCAGGCTCGAGGAGGCCCTTCAGGGCCTTATTTCGGCCTCTGCGCAACTAAGGAAATTCAGGCAGTTGCACAGCGCCAGTTGGTTGAAGAGAACCCAGGCCCTGGGCCGCCTGTGTGAATGTATGGAAAGCAGGCCCTGGGCTGGATACGGGTACTGGGCCAGACACATGCCAATGGCAGTTGGGTGCATGCAACCACCTCAGGCCCCAGGCCTGTTCTTGATCGTGCTGGGCCTCAGGCTACCGGGGCCTACTGGAAGCTTCCTGGGACTGGACGCAGGCAGGCCACTTCGATATAGCAAAGGGCCTGCCTCCTTATTCGGTATTCGGGTGCTGGCTGCATGCTGCACAAGCGCTGCTGCGCTATTTGCTGGCTGGCGCCTACGGGCTCACGGGCGAGCAGGGAAGGAGCAGGCAGCCATAGCCGAGCTGTGCTGCTGTAAGCTGGGTGTGGCGCAGGGTGGCCCTTGGGTGCAAGTGGCATCTGTGTGTTGGGGAACGAGGTTGTGAGTAAGGCGAGAGACATACCTGGTGCTGGAAGCGTGCGACATTGGTCGCTGTATGCTCGTACTTCGGGAGAGCTCTTGTCGTCAACTTCGGCATTGTAGTATAGGCTAGATAGGATCTGCCACATGTAGTCTGGGCGCCGAGCGCCGGATAGGATATCAACTCTGGTTCTTCGTTGATGATGATGAGGGGACTATTTGAGTCTATTTCAGCATTGTCAATTATGAACTCTTGGTGTGTTCTTCTTTGGTGAAACTCGTGATGCAATTCTGCTGTTGGTTCGAGGTCACAACTATCTGGACTCATATGTATGATGCTGTTTGATTGCTGAAGTTCGCTATTGCTCATCTTCCTTGCACTACTCTCTATTTCACTCTGTAATATATTCATGGTGTGAGGGGGGTTGACTTATGTTGTTAAGCATGGTGGTGTTTGGGCTATTTCACTTTTGGGGCTCAGGAGGGGGTTAATTCTTTGCTCGAATACCTACAGGCGAAAACACCAGTCTATGTTTATGTTTGTTTTCAAAGGACTGACAATTGGTGTTTTCTTGGCCGGCCTACATATCCCCCATTTTTTGGTTTGGGTATTCAGACAGTATGGGAGGAAAAAAACGAAAAAAGAAAGGTATGGGACGTTCCACATATGCTAATTTCAGTTACATCAATACCCCTTCCTCACGTGGCCGGAGCTGAGCTGGCTCTTTTTGTCAGTAGGTACACGGCCTCCATCCGCCCCCATACCTCTGTCATGGACAGGGACTACTCTGGTCTATTTGTCATGGTGAGCAGACAGTCCCTCCACTACAACCCCCCCCATCACCAGCCCACCTGTGGCCCTACCCCCACAAAGCAAGGCCCTAAGGAAACCAACTACTACATGATCATCCACTCCACTAGGGGTACCAGGCCCAACCCTGCCTGAACCCCAGCTATATCTGTTCTATGTGATGCAAAGGGCCAATCGGAATCGAACCACGGACCTCTCCCTTGCAGCACCCTAGCTCAACCCACGCAGCTACGACATCAGCTGATCTGTCTATACCCTATGCTTGGCTAGGGGGCAAATATGTGAGGTGCCAACCTAGCACTAACTGATCGTGCACAGGGGAGGTCGAGGGATGACAGAGTGGATCCTGCGCCTAAGCCTCTTGGCTCTAACCCATCCAGTGAGCTGCCAAGTGCAGCGCATTTTTGTCCTCGCTATTTTCCGGGTTGAGTTGTTAGGTCCCTGGCCTAGATGAAATTGTTTCGCTTTCTGATAATTAAAAAAAAGAAAGGCATCTGCTCGACGGCTTCCAGGTTGCATCAGCTATTTCTATAGAGGCTCCCAGTCAAAATGATTGAAGTGAAGAATCGACTTCCGAATTCCAATGCAATGCCTTGTTGATGGGTAAGATAGAAAAAATCAAATATGATCCGCATTCTTCCTCTTAGATTGCCCTAGTCTTGTGTACCGGGAGAATTCGTGTGAAAGTTGAGATGTGAAATGATACTATTTTGGTGGTTGTTGCGGCGGATGGTATGATGTTCAGGTACAAGCCTTCGGAAAATTGACGTGCGGGATAATATCTTTGGGCCGGAGTTTGGAAATGCTATGCAGCCTGTGCTATTGCGGCACAAGAACCTAACGGAATTGTACTTGAGTGACACAGGTGAAATAAGTTTTTTTAACTTTTTTTGTTGTTTGCGACTCTGCACCATTCTTACAATTTAGGAAATGTGTTACAATTTAGGAAAAAAATGTGTTCCCTAGTCGAACTGTTCCCCCAACCAACGCCCTACCCGCCCCCAACCCCCAAAAACCAAAAAAGAGAAGAACAAATAAAGAAATGAAAGGGAAAAGAGTTCAAAAGACGTCGAAGAAGAAAAAGAAGAATAAGATCAGGCAGTGCTATGGCTGCCTGGTGGTGAGTGAACGGTTCAGAAGAAGAAGAGGAAGATCAGGAAGTGGTGGGGCTGCCTGAGGAAGAAGCTCAGGAGATGATGTGGCCTCCGATGAGTATTTGGTGCAAGCTTAGAATTGGAGATGCACAGGTCAAGGGGTTGGGAACGTCCGACCATTTCCATGTCATAACGTTAATAGCCAGTCCCTTTTCAGAAGAGGAAAGAAAGAAATCAGCCAAGCTCAACAAAGGCTTGGGGTTGGAAGTACAGCAGTGGCCCCCCCTTGTTTAGGCGGCTAGTGCCACGAGGGTTGGGCAGACCACCTTGTTCTCGTCAAAAAAAAAGAAAAAGAAAAAGAAGAAAAGAAAAGAGAATACGTGGCGGACTTGTCTCAGCGAACTGGGATCAGTGGTATGTGCATTGCGTTTTCTTTCTTCTTTTCCCATCAGTGGCATTCGTATTAACTTTATTTGACGTTTGGAACTTTGGAATGTCTGGTAGGATGTCTCCGTTTTACAGAACCACCACAGCACTTTTGGGGGCAAAAAACAACAATAATTTTTCCCTAGCATCTGCCTTCACACTTCTTGCCTATCCTCAAAAACATACTACATCTTCTAAAGTTCTTCCGGTCAGGTGTAAGTTTGCAGTGTAACACTACAGCCCATCCTGACTGGATTCTGCTCATTTGCAAGATCAGCTGTTGGATAAGCAGCGCGTTTTCCGGCGCCTATTGATGGTGTCCCCGAAAATGCGACTGAAAAAACGAATCGCCACGGAGAAAAAGAAAGAAAGTGTTTGCCACACTAGTCACCAGATGTGCCAAATGGAAGACTCATCTCCCTTGAGAACATAACGAGATACACCTGCAACGTTTTGCTCTTCGGTGAGTGGCGGGGGGAGTCCACGCAGAAAGGTTTTGTGATTTTTGTTCGTTCTTCTCTTTTTGTTTTTCTTGCACTTTTCGCATCACATGTGGTGGGGCACGTTTGTCCATTTCACACTTGGTGGAGGAGGGGCAGGAGGAGAAATCAGCAGAGGAGGAGAACGAGGCCGAGGAGGAGGGAGATGGGGGAGCAGAATGGAGGAGGTGGAGGTGGCAGAGAACGGGGAGGAGGAGGAGGAGGTGGCAGGGGAACAGAAGAAGGAGGAGGAGGTGGGGAGGGAATGGGGTGGACGAGGAGGAGCAGGTGTCTGCTCCAGCGGCAAGCATCTGCTTGTCTTTTTTGAAATGAAAATCGATCTAACAAGAGAGAGAGAGGGGGAGAGAGAGAGAGAGAGAG